TTCTGCCTTTTTGCGGGAACCCCATTCGAGCACTTGAACCCAGACTTCACAAATATAAAGAATCTACGTGTGAAGCATTTAGAGATCCAAAGCACAGAAGACCCTAGTTTCACTTTCACATCTCGTGCCCTTCGTGCTATCTGTAGATATTGTGCATCCGGAGTTTTGGAACATGACATGGTTTTCCTTTGCCCACAGCACGTTCTGCAAAGAAACACCTGGGCTCGTTGAATCCAGGAGTAAACCATAGACGAGCAAAGAGCCCTTGCAGAAGAGCCCACTTGCTTGATCAGCAACCACATGTTCTTTTGAGCTCTTGAGTGCGGCCGGGCCGCTAAGAAGATTGCCGCAAGCGGATGAATGGTTCTCCACGCCTCGAAGCGTCGGCTGGAGCGAGAAAGTTTGCAATTTTTGGTTTGGGTACCAGGTCAAGAGACACTAGCTGTTACCTGCTTGATCGTGTTATTGTCGGCGGTCGGAGAGTTCTTCCTCGGCATTTTGTTTTTGGTAGCTGGTCAAAGTATACCGTCCTGCAACAGTCGCGTTCGATCGTGTCTGTGGTCGAAGTCCTGATATAGTTGTGTGCTTGATTGGGGTATTCGGCCGGTCGGAAAGAACCAGGAAAGAACTGTGCACAGAGCTTTTTGCATTCCGGTCAACGAAAACGGTCCTGGAATAGTTATGTGCTTGATCGCGCTGCTGTTGATCGCGTTTCGGGTCAGTCGGAGAAAGCTGCTGAGCGTGCTCCCCATTGGTGGCTGATCCGAGATCGTTAGCGCGCTGAAGAGCCAGAACGAGCTGCATGCTTCTGCCCACATTTGGATCTCAGACGGTAGAGTATGCCATGCATATACTTACACCATTTTGCTGATCTGAGCGCCCCGCAGGGTGAAGCCTCATGCGTTCATACTCGCTGTTCTTACTTCTTTCCACGGTAGTGTTACCAAGCAAAAAATGACAATCACGACTGCAGAAGGTAAGCATTGACGGTAAATCTGGTACGCAAGACAGGCAGGACACTCACGCAGGTTGCAAATCTGTCAACCAAAGCGCAATCTAGTAGGGAAGAATGCGCCGAGATCCATCCATCCAGGTGGGCCAATTCGATGAGGATGAGGCTTCAAACACGCCGCCAGCTGGCGCCCGGACCCTAATGCAGAGATCCTAATTTTCGGCAAGTGGATAGAAGTTGGAAGGGTTTCGTGTGTTGGTATGGACGGGGGCGTTGGTTGCGACCGTCCCGAGCTCCAACAGCTGCACGTCCTGTTCTGGATGGTGTTTAAAAACACGTTTTCGGCAGAGGGAAGACCTAAGATTGCAGGCGCTGGAAGCCCAAGAAGGCTGCACCCTGTTGGACCCACACATTGCGGTTGGTCCAGGATTCCTGTTTTCGTTCGTACGCAGCAAGGTTTCCCCCTCCCTGCAGATAAGGGTTATAGGCTGTAGGGTGTAGAGATGTTTTAGGGTTGCTCAGACGCTGGAACCCTCGCTTTCCGGGAAGGCACTGGCGCTTCGACTATCGCGCCTACTGGGCAGTGCAGGCTTTCGGGCTTATTGCTTGCACATGCCCGCGCCCAACACCCATGACATGCAACAGTACCACGAAACCCTACACCCCAAACCTAAAAATCTTGAAGCCCTGCACCTGAACCCTTTCGAAATCAATGCGATAATGCAGATCTGCCAAGTCCACTTCAAGTCCCTTGGACCTAGCCGTGTCCTCAAAGCTCCGACCGAAGCCCCGAAGCCGATGCCCGAAAGACCCAAAGCCGCCCGAAGCCCCTAAGACTGATATGACTACCAATCTGAAGTCTGCATGTTTATTTTAATTCATGTTCATGCATTTGCCAAAACATGCATATTAATATGGCCCTAGGCCCTACACCTTGCCAGGCCCCGGCCGAGCCCCAGAGCCAGATGCCTCAGCTCCAAAGCCTTGAGACCCCAAAGCCTTCAAGCCTGAACTTTGAAGGTTTTAGTAAAGGGGCCTCAATAATTCGAATGGGGTTTGGGGACCAATTAAGCTACAAATTTACGAAGGACCCCCCCATCTCTGCTTTCCGCCACGGTGTCAGATCAAGAAGATTAGCCAAGAAGCTTGCTGAAACGAATGTGCGCTTTGCAACCGTACCGCACTGAACCCTACACAGCAAAAAATTATACATTCGACCATGAAGGTTTACGGCTGCTTCAAGGCTAACCCTGCTTCAACACTTATAGCCTTATGGCACCCTTTCTTTCTGACGGAGTCCCTGAAACCCTATATTCCAAACCCATGACACTAGGTAGGAGGGAAAAAAACCCATGACACGTGCGAGAGGGCAAAAAACCCATGACAAGGACAGAGGTTAGAATTGTTAGAAACGCTGGCCCCAAAAGGCCTCTGCAGCACATACTTCTGCGATAAATGTGTCCCCAAACCCTACCCAAATTAAGAAAGGTCCGTACATCAACAAGCAGACAAACTCCAAAGCACAGAGCCTCCCTACCGCCCGTCGCCATGCAACCCGCCATGGACAATCCCATGGTGGCGGAGATGACAGACAAGATCTTCAGAACGACATTCCCTGTACAGAGCGGCCTCCTTCAAGGGTACTTCTATCCCCGTCATGGTGGCGCATATCATGTGTGCGACCGGCTTGAACAGGTCCTTATGTGGCACGGGACAAGACGCTTGTGGGTCCTCAGCAACATGGCAACGCCGAAGCTTCACATTGCTACTTCAACGGACCTGAAGACATGGCAAATCGGGACCACGACTGACGTGACGGCTCCTTTACACGAGATGCAGACGAGAGCGTATAGTCTTGAGAACAGAGTCCGCTCCGCTTCAGGTGCTCGCATGTTTATGTTCAGCTTTCCACAACACCCAGGGCTGTCGGGGTGCTACGAGTACTGGAACCAGTACAAAGGCAACCCCTGCTTCAAGAGGTGGAGGCCAGGGTCGGGTTAAACACGTTTAGGTTTAAACGGTTTAAACATAAACATGTTCATGTTTGGCCAGTCTGTGGACATTTGCTTAATTGTTTAAACAGTGTCGTCGCACTGAGATGTTTAAGCATGGTTTAAACATGTCAAGAAGGACCTTTAAATGTGTTGAAACGGTCCCTTGAGTGCCACACATCCCCAGTATGTTTTAACCAGTGTTCAAACGCAACTTTACACGGTTCCTTAAGTGCCACACATCTCGAATTTGTCTGAACCAGTGTTTAAACGCATGTTCAAACCGTTCCTTGAGCGCCACACATCCCGAATACTTGTATGTGTAAAGCAGTGTTAGAACGCATGCTTGAATGGTTTCTTGAGTGCCACACATCCCGAACATGTTAAGACCAGTGTTGAAACGCATGTTTAGAGTGTTCCTTGAGTGCGACGCCTCCCGAATATGTTTCAGCCAATGTTTAAATGCATGTTTAAACAGTTCCTTGAGTGCCACACATCCCGAACATGGTTCAACCAATGTTTCAACGAATGTTGAAACGGTTCTTGGAGTGCCGCACATCTCGAAAACGTTTAAGCCAATGTTCAAACGCATGTTAAAACGGTCCCATGAGGCCCATGAGTGCTACACATCCCGAACATGTTTAAACCAGCGTTTAAACGGTCCGCACATCCCGAGTATGCGCAAACCAAAAGTGCCGCACATCTCATATATGTTTCAACCAATGTCTAAACGAATGTTGAAGCGGTTCCTTGAGTGCCGAAACAGACCTCTGACTCTAAAGCATCCCGAATATGTCCAAACCGACAGAGAGACCGTTTGAACATGCGTTAAAGGACTGGCTTAGACTCTAAGACGTATTCGGGATGTGTGTCAGTCTTGGTTTAGACATGTTCGGGATGTGCGGCACTCAAAAACCGTTTCAACATTGGTTGAAACGTGTTCGGAATGTGTAACACTCTTGGTTCGCACATACTCGGGATGTGCGGCACCTCAAAGAGCCGCTAAAACATGCGTTTAACATTGGTTTAGATATATTCGGAATGTGTGGCACTCAAGGAACCGTTTAAACATGCGTTTACACACGGGTTTAAACACATTCGGGATGTGCGGTAATCATCCATAAACAGCCTTGGCTTGCTGCTCTGGAAGCCTAGGAGTATATGTATGTATGATCTGTAGAGGGTAACAGCTCAGGATCCTAAGCTAGAATACTGTTGAAACACGTAGTTTTAACCATTTGGCTGTGTGTTTGGTTTAACCTGCTTTAAACAAGTGTAGATTTGTTTAAGCGGTTTAAGCATGACTGGTTAGAGGGTTGCCTCAATGCTTTGGAATTTGAACGGACGCCTTTAAACACTATAGGTTTAAACATTCAGCTTCGTGTTTAGTTTAACCTGTTTTAAACACGCTTAAACGGTTCTAACAGGAGTGGTCAGAGGCTTGCCTCGGTTTAAACATGTAGCGTTTAAACAATCGTGTGTTTAAACAGTTTAAACTTAAGACCCCCGTCCCAACCCTGGTGGAGGCTTCCACAGCTCTGCTTGGTGAAGAACAGCCATGGACTATGGGTGATCCGTAGCCCGTCCAGGGATCTGTGCACTAGCAACGATCTTGTTCGCTTCGAAAGCATCGACGACATCGTGGAGATTGTGAGCTGCACAGTGGTAGAAGAACGGCCCCCCCCGCCGGAGCCTTCAGAGCCTTCCTCCTCTTCGAGACCGGCGCCGGCCCCTGCTGCTCCGGCTGCGAAAAAAATCAAACTTGGCTATGATATGGACAATGTAAGGGCTTACTGCCGCGATGCCGAGTTTCATGGCCTCCTTACAAGACCTAACGAATCGTGCGACCTGAAGGTCATCTACGAGGTTTTTGCGAGGGAGTGCTACCGCCCAGCAAAAGATAGGGCCGCTGGGGCGCTCTTCAGCCCCAAGCCCGCCGATGTACTCCTTGATCTCGGTGCTCACATCGGCACCGCTTCGAAGTATTACCTCGAACAGGGCCTCTCAGCCACCGACTCGTACGAGCCAACCGGCACGTACGACTTGCTGCAGCAGAACTTGGGTAATGATCCGCGCGTCCGCTTACACAGACAAGCAGTGGTTCACGAGACATCTTCCTTGGAGTGCGGCGGTTGCAGGTTCCGAGCCAATTCGGCGCACTCGGACCCACATAGCGATGCTGTTGCTGTCTTGGCGGGCGGGGAGACGTACTACTTCACACAGGTTGGTGACTTCCAAACCGTTGTGATGGCTACCAGCAGCCGGCATTTCCCCCTTGGATCCAAATTCATCGGCCGCCTCCAGCAGTCCACTTCCTTGGACGAGCGGCTGGAGCAGATGAGGGCAGCGCTGGCATCCTTGGAGTTTCTCGGACTGCACTCGGACGGGAGCTTTGCGGTTGGACATGTTCGTGAAATGTGTGAGCGACAGCTTTGGCTAGGCAGAAGTGGGTAAGGGAGGAGAGAACCACTTTGCAACCCAGTGTGCAAAGAGAGATGAGTGCGTGAGTGTATGAGTGTAAGTAAGTGAGTGAGTGCTTGCGTGAGTAAGTGAGTGCGTGAGTGCGCGAGTGACAGTGACTGAGTGACCGAGTGGCCGAGTGACCGAGTGACTGAGTGAGTCCCTGAGTTCGCGAGTGCGTGAGTGCGGGAGTTCTCTGAGCTTGTGACTGGGTGAGTGAGTGAGTGAGTTGTTGAGTGATTGAGTGGTTGATTGATTGAGAGCGTGAGCGAGCGAGTGAGTTGGTTGCAAAACGTACCGTGGTCGACTGAGTTCGTGAACGACTAGGACTGCCATCGCTTCCAAAATCAATATAACCGTGAAGCATCGACCCTTCCCCTTCCCCTGTTTTGCGTGTCACCTCCACGTTTGCCGTGATGCTGATATGGTCGGGATGGTTGTGGATACGCGGTGGAAGTCTGCGGGCTTAGTACTTGTAGCGGTTTTCTCGCTCTTGTTTTGGGTGCTCATCTGTTTGATAAGCCTCTTCTTCTTCGTGCGTCCAGCTGTGCCTACGACCTGACAGTGACAGCAGCCGCAAGCACATGCGATGTTCACAACATCGTCATCAGGAGCAGCAGCAGCAGCACCACCACCACCACCACCACCATCATCATCATCATCATCATCCTCATCAACGGCGATGCTCGTAATCGAAATGGCAGTCCCTGCTTATGCAAGAATGGTGTCGCGTGTTCGAAGTCGACGCGTTGAAAGTTTTTTGCAGGCTGAGACTTGAAAGATTCAAACCTTCAATGTCTTTGAACATTCGAAAAGTGCTGCAGTTCGAAAGTTTGTGCGCCTTGGTATGCACAAGCTAGCCGGCGTCAAACTTTGAAAATTTCAAATCTTTCAGTCTCACTAAATCTCGAACTTTCGAGCTCGACTGGCTGCTTCAAACTCAAACTTCAAGCTTTTGCCGCGGGCGAGTTCGATCGGCCTTCGAAGCTTGAGAGTTTGAGACCCTTTCGAAGGTTGGACGGATTGAAACTTTGAAAGTTTGGAGTTTGAATTGCTGGCTTCAGATTCGATCCTTGTGGCTGAGTTCGCGAGTTAGAGAGTTCGAAGGTTTCAATCTTCGAGAGGTTTCAAGTTCGAAGGTTTGAAGGTTTCAGAGATCGAGAAGTTCGAACGGGATGAAACTTCGAGAATTCGAAAGATAGAAAAGTTGCAAAGTTTGAAGGTTTGAATCGCGTCGAGATGTACAGTTCGAAAGTCCGCCGAGTTTCGAACTCGAAAGTTTTAGAGGTTGAAAGGTTGAAAGTTCGAGATTGAAAAGTTTCAGAGTTTGAAGGGCCTGACAGGCGGTCGCTTTTCTAAACACGCTCACTCTCTTTTGGCGATTCCGGTTCACCGTATATCTTAAGCATCCACGCTCATTTAGCGATTCCTGTCATCACAGCGCCTCACCATATACCTTAATTGCGCCCCCCCATCTTCAACACACCCGTCATTTATCGTTTCCGGTTCATCGTATTACCCTTCCTCATTAGGTGCTTTCGGTTAATTACGTATCGTAAACACGGTTCACCGTATATCTCCAGACGCCCCCTCATTTGGTGATTCCAGTTCATCGCACATTTCTTAGACAGGCATACGGGTGGTAGTGGTAGTAGCAGTAGTAGCAGCAGTAGTCGTAGTGGTAGAAGTAGCAGTAGACCGATTTGTTACTGGCATCGGCGTGTGTTTATTGTGAGATCACACATCACGGAGGCTACGGTGTGTTACGGGCATCGGTGTATGTCTGTTGTGACATCACACATAACAGGGGGCACGACTTGTTGCGGGCATCGGTGTGTGCCTGTTGGCGTTACCGGTCCCAGGCCCTAACATGAGGACGTCAACATGGTTCCAAATTCAAACTGTCAATGCGTTCAATTTTCAAACTCTTTCAACTTACAAGCCTTCAAGCTCCGAAACTCTCAGACATTGAAAATTTCAAACATTTTCAAGCATTGGGACTCCACGTCTCTCGAACTTTCGTTTCGAAGTTAAGAATTTGAAACCTTTAACCCCCGAAGGTTGAAATTCTTCGAACTGTCAAACTTAGAAGCTTTGGAGCTTTCAAGCTTCAATTCTCCCTGGGTTTCGAACTTACAAACTCCAAGCTCTGAAACTGTCGAACTCGAGCCTGAGGGCTGCTCTGTGAGCCCCTACGCGTTCTCCAGCGGTCCTTCGCCTTGCTCCCTCGTGCATGGCGCGTTGTCGCGGCTTCCAGCTTCCAAGCTGGATTCCCATTCAAACTTTCAATCTCCAAGCTCGCGACCACTTTCAATCTTGAAACTCGAATTTTCAATCTTCAAACTCTCATTCTCCAAAGTTTTAAAATGCTCAAACTCTCCATTCCCGTCCAACATTTGATACGTTCAAACTCTCAATGATTCGAGTTCAAAAAGCCCCACTCGTGACACCTATCTGCATGCAAACCCTGCTGATCGGATTTTCGGGCTCGGGGTTAATTCGGGTCTGCGCCTCAGGGTGTTCTTCGGGCCGGACCTTCTGCAGAACGACAACACCCTTCTTACCCAGACGTCGGCTTCGACCTGGCGGAACCCCGAGGGACGTCGCTTCAAAAAGCCGGCCGACATGTCCTTCACCAACTGGCTCCAGGAACTCAATGCACAGCCGTGCCTATCCTTTGCTGATTTCGAAGGGTCGCAGGTTGGTTCTTGGAAAAGCAGCGCTAGCACTTGCCACACGCTTCGTCTCAAGCCTCGTTCGGTTCGACTTGTGCCAGCCGTCGCTTTGAGCGATGTGCTCAAACCCGAACACACGATCATCAAGATGGACATCGAGGGCTCCGAGCTTCAGCTTCTCTTCAGGCCACGGGACTGGCAGAACACCAGACTGCTTATCTGCGAATTTTCCGCTGGCAGAAGCCGCCACTTCGGCGTAGGCCCCTTGGCTTTCGCTCGAGTTCTAGATGCATTGCGGGCTGGCGGCTTCACGCACTTGCACGTGGAAGCGGAGTCGAACTTGCTGAACCCCCGCTTCTGGTCCCGGGAGGACAACCTGGCCGCGAACTTAGACTTCATGATCTGGGTCTACAGACGGCGGCCGACGCCAGGCGACCACCTCGTGGACCTTCTGGCGTCTGAGGCGATGGAGCGCCGCCTTCGCGAGCTTCCATCCCGGCTTCGCGCACTGCCGGGGTTCCCGCAAGCCGCGAAATCGCGGAAGAAGCGCGGCGGAGCAAACTGACTCTTCATGCCGTGCCTCGGCAGATGAAGGCTGCTCACGGCTTTTTCGAAATTCGGAGAGTCGGGTTTAGTTTAGGGTTTTGGAGGATCCTTTGGGCTTCTGGTATGGGGTTTAGGCTTCAAGCTGTTGCCGGGTCCTTGTCACTTTAAGGCCCCAGTTACCTTTTGACGCGCGCTACTGAGTCATTGTGGGTACCATTAGCCTTGTGTAGGGTTTAAGGAGCAGTAGCCCACTTCTTAGGAATTGGGGTAGGGTTAGTATGGCTTGATTCCGGTTTAGGGGTGTCATACTTCACTTTACCACTCAACTCAGACCCCGAGGATGCTCCTGCAACTTGGATGTCTCTGATAGAACGCCTAAGTATTTACATAGCCGTGCGCCGCACTTGGAGATCTGAGTTTCTTTCCATTTCATAGTCAGGTCCCGGTACTGGTATGTGTCGGCAGTGCTCTGAACATCTGAAACTGGGAAGCTTAAGCGAACTAATCGTTCTTCGTCTATGGTCCCCAACTCCAGAAGCTGACAAGCCTCCCGTGAGATACATTGTGAAAGGGATGTGGTTATCCTTGTAGGCAGAATAGTGCATTGCCTTGTGCCGGTGGTTATGACAGACTTAATTCTCAGTATCAGTGGGCCGAGGTGTGGCACCAAGACTGCGATTGCACAAGGATGTTGGAGCGACATATCTTCGTCTTGTGCGCGGACACGTGCTGCAACGGCCGGGTGGGCTTTGTACTGCACAGCTGAACAGCAGACTGAGCAAGAGGTTCTCGGAAGTTTCAGGTTGTGCTGAATGGTCCAAGGCTAAAGCGACTACGAGTTCAGCCCTGCCTTGCTGCACTGCCCCGCAGCCGACCTGATGAAGGCTGCGAGCACTGGGGGCTGCATCTGAGGCCGGCAATGTGCCAAAGCAGCGCTTCGCTTGGGAGCCGACGCTGCTCCACCTCCAACTCGCAGATGCTCAGCGAGCACAGTTCTTCAACGACAAATGGCTTCTTGAAGCGAAAGACTCGGCGGGTAGCTGCTGCAATTCTCTTGCAAGTATCCGGTGCAGAGTGGGAAAGGGCAGTTCAGAACATCCTTTTTCTTTTGACATGCTGCGAAAGAACAACAATTGATGATTGAACGATGCCAGAGTCTTGGGGCCGACGCTCCAGCCAGGAGAAGCCTCACAGAACAGAAACCCCTGACGCCCAACATGTATGCACCACCACTATCAACAGTGACCACGTCTTATTGAGTCAGAGCAGCAGCAGTATCGCTTCTCCACCGAGGGTCTCGAGCCTCTGTATCGTGCCCTGATATTGCATCTTGCTCTGTGGACATCGGAGGCCCACGTCTTGCGAGGCAATCTGGCGGTCTGCTTGACTAGTTCCACGATGATCATCACGGACAGCGGCCTTAACAGCACAAGATCGTAATCCACAGACATGTTAGACTTCATTGTGCCGAGCCTCGAAACTTTGCACGGAGTGCAAGCTACCGTGGTTCAGCATGTAGACAGTATATGCTCTCCGAAACTCGCGACCTGGGAGAAGGACATTGGCCATGGTCGTACTTGGTCAGGACAACGGCCACATTCCCTAGCCCACGTGGCCCCAGAGTCGGATTGTCTGGCTTGATGGTAAACAGAGCGCTCTGGAAGTGATCAGCCCTACACCCTCAACCCTCAGAGGGTCGACACCACAACCTTCGGTAAACCAGTCTGAACTCCTTAAAGGCGGGGTCGATTGGGGATTCTGCAGGGGACACTAGGAGTTTAGCCTATCGTGTTACTTGCAGGCGGATATCCTTTGCATCATGAATCCTTGGGAGACGAATGCAGTGGTGCGTGCAGGGACCCTGAAGCCCTAAGTCAGTGGTGGAATTCCAACAATCAGGGGTCGCTTCAACCCTCGAAATGCAACCCCTGAGCCCCATTCCTAGCCCAACATCCCCTGGCATCTTTCCGGTGCCAAAACACAATACAACAGCAAACCATGTCTAAACCATGCTACTGTAAACCCTAACCCTCAACCCCAAAAGCCCCAAACACCATTATGAGCTTGGGCTGACAAAAGGGCTCATGGGTTGAACCTTTCGGCACGTTCCCAATGACTGTACTAAGATACAACATTGAATAGCAGCGTGATGTCTATGGCTGCTTGGGGGATGTGATTTTGTTCATGGGTTTTTGGTTGCTCTTCTGCATGCCCTGTGGTTTGTCTGGCAGTTGTGCTCCAGAGTCTAGCGATTAGGGGCTGAGTGATTTTGTGACACTAATTTTCTTAGATCCCAGGATCATCGCAGTTCAGATACTCGAGAAGCTGAAGGATTTCTTCATCAATTGTCATGCTAGGGCTTTCTCCATGAAGCTTTAAACCTTGAACGCCACAAACTTTAACCTGAGCCGATTGAGAGGCGCCAACAGGCCAGTTCCGAGTCCTTGCATGATGAGGCAGGATAGAATTGGAATGCTTGGGCTATGCAAGATCCTGATTAATTGCGCTTCCCAAGCCCACCATGGAAGCTTTAAAATTGCCTTGCAATGGCTAATTCGGGCCGTGTGGGCCTCCGAGTTGATTAAGTTGGAGAGGGGTACGTGTTGCTTGCGCATGGTTTAAAGTGTTCTATTTGAGGTTGACGGTTTAAGGTCGCGCCCCTGACGGTCACAATTGAGGGTAGATGTGGCTTGCGCAGCGACTTTGTTGGGCGACTCCCGGTCCGCGTAATTCTTTACTTTACCTGCTAGGCTACAAGCCCCCGCACAGCCTAAGCAACTGCAATCGGCAATGGCCTCGCAGTACGAGAGCAGCCTCATGAGTTCTTCATGTCACAGCAAGGTCAGGCAAGCTGCCTTTTTGGTAGCATTCTTGTACGTGGATGCTTGCCAGGGGACCAAACAGCAAGCCGCGAAATTTCGGGTTGTGCGATTGCCTCGAACACATTTTCCGCAGGCGAGCGCGAGAACATGTTCCGACCTTGAGTGGGTGGCTCAGAACCCATAAGCATGTGACACTGTTGCGAGTAGCGTGAGTACATGATGATGCTTCGGAGATCTCATCTATAATTTCCTGTCCTATTCGCTAATTACATGCTTAGGCTGGTCTTTGATGGGGCATCCTTTGATGAATCGGGGATCCCTTCAGGCAAGGCTCCGCCTCCAACACAGGTGAACCCTAACAAGATTCCGTGATTGTTAGACACGAGGGCTTCGTTATTGCAGGACCCTTATGGGACTGTTGGCTTGTTTTGTGTCAGTCAGACATAGGCAGATCCGATCTCTACAGCTTCAACTCCAGGCAGGGCCTAAAAACCATGGCTTCAAGTATGGAATAAAGGATTTCCTGAAGATTGCTTGTGGGCAATTTTGGGTCTAGGGATAGACGCAACTGGCCCATCTAGACAATGGTGTCGTTCTAAGTTGATGCAAGTAATTATTCAAGCAGTTCCGTTTCCATTTGGCTGAGAATAGCCATGAAGAGATAAGGTGTAGAACCGGAGCGCAGAAACGTTGCAAGCGGGCGCAGAAAGGGCATGCGGGTGATACCTGGCGTGCAAACGAGTAGCTAAAGGCCAAGAAATGCACTGGCAGAACTCAGAGGGCTCTTAAGCGAACCTCAACAGCCCCATCTGTGCCATTGCGTTGAACACAAGTCTTCACAGGTGAGCGACACAAGATGTGCCGATCTTGAGTGGGCGGCTCAGAGTCCATGCCAACTCTGATTTGTGTTGAGTACGTACCATGAGTACATGATTGTGCTTTGGAGGGCTCTTGCTGTTATGCAAGGGGGTTCTCACCGATTAGGCAGTCTACGTGCGCGAGTGACCGATTCGTGTACCGAGAGGTGAGGCACACCATCGAATGCCAAAGACCCAGCAACCTGGAAGAAGAGCCAAGGGCGCAAACACCTAAATCCGGTCCGTTGCGCCTCAATGAGGTCATGGAGCCTCTGTCAAGGCCCGAACCGCTTGCGTAACCTCCAAGGTTTTGGAGGGATGGACTTGGATGTACGGCTTCCGCTCTTCGTGCTTTGTAGAGTCCTTTTCGGTGGGGTTGGTGTAGTTGGAGCGGGAAGGTCTGGCATTTTGGGCTTCAAGGTCAGGTGCATTTAAGCTCCGAGATGTCAACCTATGCCCTTTAGTTTTCAAGCTTGTTAGAGTGAGCATGTGGCTCGTGTGAATCTGAAGTGCTAAGCCTCACCAGGAGTTTCAAGTTGGAGGTGTCGTCTTGCCAGAGGGTGTAAGAGCATGACCTTTGAGTGGCGGTACGTCGACACCAGGTGTCCATCCCGGTGAACTTTGTGGAGCAGGACCTTCGACGGTTTGATACATAGACGTTGTTGTCAGAAGTCTCGGGTCAGGCAGGAGATGTCAGAGGGTGTTAGCTCCGCATTCCAATCGCAGCATTTATCGGTGTGCACAGACTTTCATTGTGTGCACGTCCGGAAAGCAAGTTTCATGGACACAGTAAGTTTGTGACGCCAACGTCCACTCTTGAGTTGTTGCATCTTTGTATGATAGACGCTGCAAGTTTCAAGGGCACTGTAAGTTTGTAATAGTTTGTATCGCCAACGTCCACCGTTGAGTTGTTGCATCTTTGTATGGTAGAATCTGGTAGAAGTTGCAAGTTTGATGGACACAGTAATTTGTAACGCCAACGTCCACCCTTGAGTTGTTGCATGTTGTATGGAAGACGATGCAAATTTCAAGGACACAGGAAGTTTGGAACGCCAGCGTCCACCCCTGAATTTGTGTATCTTTGTATGATAGACCTTGCAAGTTTCATGGACACAGTAGGTTTGTAATGCCAACGTCAACCCTTGAGTTGTTGCATCTTTGTATGGTCGACGTTGCAAATTTCAAGGACACTGTAAGTTTGTAACGCCAACGTCCACCCCTGAGTCGTTGCATCTTCGTGTGGTAGACGTTGCAAATTTCAAGGACACTGTAAGTTTGAAACGCCAGCGTCCACCCTTGAATTTGTGTATATTTGTATGATGGACTTTGCAAGTTTCATG